GCGTAGTACTAACTATTCCTTCGAGACCTACGCTATTATAGCGTTACGATAATTACCTCTCTTCGATTTCTACGACCCGATAATACTATCTACCTATCCGTACGCCGAGTTACCGAAGATAAAGAACTTGTTATCTATATTATCGTTATTATTAAACAGGTTATGCTATACCTAGTTAATCCCCGACTCGCGTACTATTCGGCTATCCCTATAAGAGCTAGGATAAGGACTATCGATAAGCAGTATTCTATCCGGCAGCTATATACCTTAGAATTTAATACTATAGAAGTGCTTATAGCTATTATAGAATACCCTCTAGTTACGACTAGGTCTCGTAATCTTTCTTACGGTGCCGTTAATATATCTAAAGATACTAGATAGTCCGACGGATAGATATAGCGACTCTACTAGGCTCCGGAGATATTGCTTAGTAAGCCGCCTCTTATTAAAGAATAAGAACGACTTCTACCTTATTACTAGGCTATATATAGCCGCATTAAATACATAACTTAATATAGTAGCTAAATAGCTAAACTTCTCGTCTAGGTCCTTCTAGAAGCCTAGACTAGATAGCCGCTTATAGACTATATAGAGCACCGTTATAGGTAGCAATTTAAGGCTAACTAGCAATACGATTAAACTAATATTAAGTAGGTCTACTAGCTCTATTAACTCGGGCCTTATAAAGCGGAAGTTACCCTTAATATTAGCCTCCGGATAACTAAGAAGATCGAAGCGTTGTTTCTTATAGACTCTCGCTAGTTTAAATAGTCGGTTACGCCTTAACTAGCGGTACTACTATTTACGTATAGATTTACCCTCCCTCTACGCCTACTAGTCCTTATTACTACTATCTTCCTCGAGGTATTTACTTATAATAGCAACGACCGTTACTATAGCTATAGTAACTATAATAGCTCTAGTTTCTATAGTTGTTTAGTATATGCCTATAGGTCTATAAGAGCTAAGGTCTATATCCCTAGAAGGTCTAGAATAGGGGCTCCTTACTATACTAAACCGCTTTCGATTATATACAAATTGGCCTCTTCTAAAGGTCCGTAAAAAGCGCTATATTAATCCTTTACTTAACGGTTAGGAGCTAGCGCTTATTTGGAAGCCGGTAGCCAAATTAACTATTTCTAAAGGTCCCTAGTATGTCTAGAACAGGGGTTGTCTCTCTGTATATATAGCGTTAACGCATATCGGAGTGAAAGAGCGCTTATATATTCTAGGGTGTCGCGACCCTTGCTTAGCGGCACCGCTTGCTATACAAAGTATAGTGTAACTAGGTGTTAGAAGCTATTAGTGCGATTGTTAGGAACTTCAGTTCTTTAGCTAGTTTAGTAACGATTAGGGTTAAGAAGGAGGGTGTTTTAGAAGCCGTATAGAAGGCTAGTTTAAAGCCGTATAGACAGCTAGTTTAGTAACGATTAGGGTTAAGAACGAGGGTGTTTAAAGCCGTATAGAAGGCTAGTTTAAAGACTGTAGACAACTATAAACAACTAAGTAAGCGCTATACTATCTACTACTATGTTTAACCGCTATTAGCGTTAATTACTATACGATAGCGAGCCGGTATACTGTTAATCCATTGTTATACCAATTCTATAGGTACGTTGTAGTATTCTTCGACAATTGCTAGCTAAAGGTTACGGCTAGTAGGTCTGTTTCTGCGGCGTTCAATTGCCTGCTTAATTACTCGCTATAGGTTCTCGATAGGGTTCAAATCTAGTAATAAAGGTAGCTAGTTGTCTATAAGAATAATGCGGCGAGCTCGTAACTAATTAAGTGTGTATTTAGCTCTATATACAGGCGCCGAGTCTTGTTAGAAGAGTGCTATTCTTAAGTGCAAGGTAGGCTCGTAACCGAGAGGGTATTCTTAGTTAGTAATAAGGCTATTTATACGACTAATCTCTTCTTAAACTAGTAGCAAGACCTTCTTATAGTATAACTCTTTATTAATATTGCCCTATATCTTATCCTATAGCAGGAGTAGTCCTTTGCCGCTAATACTACTAATATAGGCCTATATGATCTAGTATAGAAGGCGTTAGAAGCGAGGCCTCGAATAGTAGTCTTAGTTACGCTTACTAACTAGTCGAGTAACAAAGAGCCTCTCGTATAATCTATTGCGTATAGTATACTCGTCGCTCTATAGAACGTTTGCCTAGTCTTCTTTAGTAAAGTGTTAATAGAATTAAGCCTATTCGAGGCGTAGGCGTCGAATACGGTCGTTATAGAAGGGCCGAGGGCGTATAACGTAGCGGCGATAACTATACCTTCTATAGATACGAGAGACAGTTATAGGACTGCAATTTAAACCGAGTAAGTCTCTAACTTCCGTCTAAGTTATATAACGAGTTATAGCGTTCTAAGTAATATAGTCGACGATAAGGCGCTCTTAGGTATCTATATAGAGCCTGCGGCTACGTCGTCGAGTTAGTACGTAGGTAAGGGCAATCTCTCGAGGAATAGGGCGCGAATAGTCGAATTCGTCGATTCGGTAGGCTCGGTAGCGCCTAGGAGTAAAAGGCTTATAAACGATATAATAGATAGTCGACAATGCCTTACGAGACTACTCTAAGATATAAATAAGCGGCTATTTAGCTATTCGGTGCAGTTGTTTAATAGTAGTACGTAGTTTATATAGAAGTACGGCTCGGCGGTAGACTCGCTATTCGGTAGTTTGTTAGGTCGCGATTTCGTACGTTAGTAATAGCCCTAGCAGTCTAAAAAGAAGGGATTTAATGCTTAGTAGAGTTAACTAGCTAGATAGACGATTTGCAAGTAGTATAGTAGGCAGTATCGGGTGCGATAAATTAGTATATTATATTAATAGAAATAGCTAATCGCTTTAGAAGGAGATATTAGAAGTGTTAGAAGAAGCTAGTACCCTACCTTCGGAGCTTTAATTCCGATCTAATAGGAATCGCCGGGTCCGCGGGCTAATCCGTACCGAGGCTAAGTTATTATCTAAAGATTAAGACTCTTATTTAGTTAAATCGATAACCTTAACCTATAGACGACGTATTTAGCTTAGAAGTTGCTATTTAAGCTCGCGCTACTCTCGAAGTTGTATCTCCGACTTATTATACTCCGGCGGACGGTCGTAAACAGATAGTAGAATAGATAGTATACGGTCGCGCTATTAGATATAGAATTAATAGTATAGAGGGTTATTAAACTATAGAACCTAAGGGCGACGAGATTGCAATAACTACGATAGAGCCGGCCTTAGTAGACTTCTAGACCGATAAGGCAATAGAGCTAGATTAAATGCCGGTATTAAACTAAGTAAATAGATAGAGGGCATAACTAATAGTATTAGACTTCTATAGCTACTAATAACGTTAGAAAGTAGGCGTAACTATGCTTTGTCTTTCTTACCTTATTCGAGGGCTTTAATAAGAGCTAGACGGCGCTAGTCTAGTAGACGGTATACCTCTAGAAGATTAGTATATCGTTAATCGCGAAGAGCTAGCGTACTACGAGTGCGAATAGCGCTAGAACAACCCCTTCTATAGCTATACTACGTATACTACTCGTTAGTATAAGTATACGGTATTATAAAGAAACGAGAAAGAAGCTAACTATTTAATAGAGGACTCTATATACGTAGATACTACCGAAAGTACCTATTTATCGCCGACTACTTCTTTATACCTTCTTTATAATTATACTCTCGAATACTATTAATCTAGTATAGACCTACTCCTAATTATATAACGACCTTTAGCTTACTTCTAAATTACTCCTTCTTCCTTTCTTTAATATTGTAAAAAGCTTATAAAATAATATATTATTAAATCTACTAAAAGATAGTCTATATATACCCTAGATAGTGCCTATACGTAACTTCTAAGCCCTCTAGTCGGAGGAATTGATAGCTAAGCCTTCCTATAGGTGCTATGCTTAGCCGCGGCGCCAACACCTCGATTTAGTATAGGACACTGCAATTAGCGGTGCCGGAAGTACTAATATTATGCACCTTCCAGGGCTCCGGACGCTAACTTTCACTCCGATGTGCGTTGACGCTGTATGCTGGCTGACATTGCTGAGTCGGGACAAGCGTGACTGTCAAGCCTCAGATGCGTTGCGTCAGGCCAGGCCGCTCGTCCTTTTTTAGCACTGGGGAGGTGCTTGGGGGCCCGGGCCCGGGCCCGCACATCGCTACCGAGCTCGTGCAGCAAGCCCTCTTGAAGATGCGCTGCCACGACGCAGGCGTGATGACAGAGCGCACAGCAGTACTTTGCAGGCCGATGGATGCTTCATCATGCGGCAGCAGGCAACAGTTAGTCAGCATCCGCGAAGGAGGACGGGAAACTCAGGCCAAGCCGGCGAAGGTCAGCGTACGGACGGGTAGGGTTACTAGGGTAGCATCGATGCGTGCAGAATCAATAGTAGATCCAACGCCCAAAACAGCGCGGGGCCGTCCTCCCGCTGCTCAAGCCCAGAGTAGCCATCGGACTTTTGTTCTCTGGCCCTGCAGTCCCGAAGCCACCCAGTGCGGCTCCCTCCTCGGCTGGAACCAAGAGCCCCACTGCCTTCCCTGCAGTGCTTAGCGCGCGCGCATTTTGGTCGACCTCATCGTGCGAGCGCGCGCGAGAGAGAGGGAGAGAGAGGGAGAGAGAGAGAGAGAGAGAGAGAGAGAGAGAGAGCACGAGCTGAGCTGAGCTGAGAGCCTGAGACCTTCGCGAACCTTGACCTTACTGTACACCGCCCGCCGCTCTGCGGGAGAGCGTACAGCGAAGGGCGTAGACTGTAGACCGGGAGCGTAGACTGCAGCCTGCGCACGGCGACCATTTGCACTGTTCTGGCTGCCGTCATTGATATGGCCGCCTGGTGCTCCGACTCGTCACTCGCTCGCTCAGACATGACCCTCTCGCACATACCAACGTCCAGCAACTCACGTGGCTGCCGGTCACCGTCGTCGTCCACGTCCGCGTCCACGTCCGCGTCCACCACTCGTCTTCGTATGTCACTGCCACACCACACCTCGTCGCTCTGCCACGAGAGCTGCCTCCCGCAATGTTGGTAGCAACCATGCACAGCCAAACAACCCAATACCTCCAGGTCCCTCGAGTATTGCCGACAAGGAAAAGCCGTTCACGATCGAGATCACGCGCGAGGGACGTGCCCAAGGAGGTCTTCAGTTCAACACAGGTCATCGTCTCGCCAGAAAAGCTCACCTTTCGAGCTGCATCGCCTGAAAAGCCGTCCTTCAGCCCAGAGCCATACCGAAAACCAGCATTCACTGTATTCAACAGGATGCCCAGTCCCGTACCCTCGCCATACAGCTATGGCGAGGGAAAGCGAGTATCTTCGGCTCCGCTGCCCACACTGGAGCTACAAGACATGCCCATGAAGGACACAGAAGGCACGAATTATGATGATCTCAATGAGGGCCTATACACCATGGAACAATGCGTAACACCGCCACCAGAAATACCCTTGAGGCAGAAGCTCATCGGCGCGTGGAAACTGGAATCATATGTTGCCTATCCAACACCACAATCGCCAGTGCAAAGACCGACCTATCCCATGACGAAGAACGTCACTGGATTCATCATGTACACCCCAGATGGATACATGTCAGCTCAAATGTTAATACCGGGACAGCAGAGTTTCAAGCGCGGAGAAGGGGAAGAGCCGCAATGGGCAGAGGCAGGAAAGCGATGTTTCGCGTACTGTGGCCCATACTACATTTCCAACGAAGGCCAAGGCCGGGAGGAGATTCTTCGGCATACCTTCCAATGCTGCAGCTTACCAGGCTGGATCGGCGACATCCAGATTAGGACTCATCGATTCGAGGAAGATGGTCAAGTGCTTGTGCTTGGCAGCGAAGAGCCAACAGAAGTGAAGGTGAGTGTCGTTATATTGCTTCATAACTGTTCCGAGGACGGAGCATTTACTGACACGCAACAGGGCGACAAGCGCATACCAGTCCTCAAATGGAGACGGGCCAAGGACAACTCCAATGGCACGCCACCACCACCGACACCACAGATAAAAGTCAGCGGACCTGGCGAGCCTTGAGGCCAGTAGCCGCAACCACCAGGATACGAACATTGCATTTCACAGTAGACGACTCGCATCATCCTACCACATCACTAGTATTACGAGTTCCACACTCGCTACATCGACAACGAATAGAACCGGCCGTGAAGGATCGGGAACAGTCACGAATTTCCCTTCTGTTCAGTAGCAACTGCATCGCATAGCGAGCGACCTGGCGTTTCATGAGGCATTTGTGCTTTCGAGATATACCTTTTTGTTAAAGCGCAAGCCCGGAACTGTACACTTCTTAACAACCACTTTACGAACTCGAGAATTATTGTATTGGCAGAAACAAGGCGCATTTGCAGCGTCTGGCACGCTGGCGCCGAACGACAATCCAGATAGCAATCTAGGACAATCACCCATTGTCTAACCACTTGGCACTATCTTACCCATATCGATTTTCCACAAGCATAGCAATCTGTCATAGAAGCTCGTACTCACAATGCTTCTGTTTGATACAGTACCTCCTCCGTCTCGTTCGGGCTGCACGTCACTCCCGTAATTCATACTCTTGTGCTCCTCGAACCTCGCCAGAACTTCGAAATTCCATTCCTCACTCCTGCTCCGTGCCATCCTTACAATGCGAGCACCAGCATGCATGCAACTGACAAGTAGTACGAGGCTGAGATAATGTCAGATTGCGTCATCACAGGGTGGTATGAGCTGTATGCGGAGCGCATAGAATGATTGTTCTGGAAAAGTGAAAGGATTATGGTACGGACCTTGTGCATGGCTGCCGCAGGGCTGAGTCCGAGGCTTCCTGCATATTTTTATTAGGCACACTAACGGCGGCCTCTCGTGCGAGCACTTTCAATCGCCAGACACCGCCTCCTAGGTAGAGCGAGGCCAGCGTCTGCCGTCTGCCTACTGAGGGCAATGATAGCAACCGAATATGATCATCGTAGCTGCCGGTCACCACAAGGGTATCGGAAAGTGGCAGGATGGCGGTGACTCCGGCTTCATGGAGCTTACGATCTTTCCACAGAGCCTCGATTTGCATGCTGTTTTCATGCTCGTCTTGGATTTGTGAGCACTGCAGAACGATGTCATCGCCGCCGGAAATAGCGTTTCCCGTCTGAGGTGTGAAGGCCATAGTCCAGGCTTCCAACTCATGCTGCTGAATATCGTGCATTGTGATCACAGCATCTTGGCTCCACAATTGGCCTTCCGTGCTGCTGCTGCTGCTGCTGCTGCTGCTGTTGCATTCACAGAGCAGCACGTTTCCGTTGGACAGCGTTGACCCGAGGACGTGAGGCCGGAACGGATGCCACGTGAGTGATAGCACCAATATCGTGGAGTCACAAATGCGCCTGACACATGATAGCACGAGCTCCCGGCGTGCTGCATCTAACCGGTAAAAAGCAAGTAACCCTGTTGATGTCGCAACCGCTAGTATGTCGCCCACTATTTCGGGATGGGGAGTCCACTGTATGTCGAGAATAGCAAAGTCCGTGATGATGGTGGATACTTTCGTACTTTCACATGAATCTCGCATCAGTCAAACAAAGTCGCCGGGAGAGGAATGATATGGTCACCTCTTACCTACATGTTATCTTGCTCTAGCTGGAAGAGGATCAGGCTTCCTGTGCGCTTTTGCGCGGACTCACCAGCAGATGGCGGTGTGTTCTTGGGATCTTCGGACGGAGGTTCTGCGTTGTTGGCCTCACGTACATCACCTTGCTGCTCCTTTCCATGCAAGTAGTACGTGCCAACCACGAAAAAGTTCGATTGATTCGGACAAAAGGCTATGCAGCTGGGCGGCAGATCGAGGGTCAGGGAACACACGGCATCTACTTGCGCCATCGTGCATAGCCGCAAGCAAGAGAGGATATTCAATTATGCGTGGAGGGTCATGGTTCGGAGGCAGAATTGGGGTTGACTGTCTCGAGACTAGACGGAAATGGTAAATGGTACCAGAAGCGCACAGCCAAGCATATAGCATATTGATTATTGAACTGGTTAGCGTACGGAATACGGGAGCTCTATCTCTCGTCTTGTATCGGCTAGCAACCGGCCCTATACCCTTATAGGGTAGCTAGTCGCTAGGCCGAAAGAAGAGACCTCCTTTAGTAGAGAAATAGAACTATTAACCTCGTATAGTATACTATTCCTATTATACTCTAATAGTGCCTCTTTAATAGAGCTCTAATTAGTAATTACTATAGCCTAAACTATAAGTCTACTATCCTATTCTACTAGGTATATATAAGAAAATAGGTCTATAGGAACGTATAGAATGCTCTCTACTAATCGTAGTAGTAGATAGTAGAACTAAACCGTACCTTTCTAAGAATAGGGTAGAGTATTTACTATTAACTAAGCTCGCCCGGCTAGTATATCTACCGAGCTAGCTACCGAGTATATCCGTATAAGCGACCGAGCTTCTCCGCGTATACGCTAAGTAGGCTTTGCGCTAGCGGATTAGTATCGTAGTATACGTAATAATATTATATAACTATTATATAGGATTACTAAGGTAAGATAAGAGACTTTACTTACTTAGGTTCTTATAATTATCTCCTTTCCCTAGTATAGCTATTCTAGCTATAGGGCTATAAGAAGGGTTATATTAGTAGGTAGATAGGGTAGTAGTAGGTTAGTATAGTATTCGATAGAGATCTAGGAGGAGAAGGAGGAAGGCAGGCTAGTTAGCCTAACGCTAAGCGCTAAGCCCTACCTAAGGTACTAAGACCCTAGCTTTACTCGAGCTAGTTATATACTAATTACGTATAACCTCTAATATACGCTTCCTTTCTAAAGGCCGCGCCCTCGTAGCCTGTCTATATTCTAATCTTAACCTCTATTACCGCTAACTTAGTATATTAACTAAGCTGTTTAGCTACGCTAAATTAAACGCTTAACTACCTAATTGTGTAACTATATTAAACCTTGCCTCCTAGTATAATACAAGGTTTAACTCTAACTACGCTATCTTTATATATAATAAAGTAATATATATCTATAAGAATTAAGGGCTATCGACTAATTATAATACGAGCGCGTCTTTCCTACTATAATAGGTAGGTATACGAGGTATTACAGCACTGCCTCCGTTCTAAGTAATATCGTTTCGAGTTCTTTACGTCTACTCTAAAAGACCTAGAAATGTCTACTCCCGAGGGTTTATTCTTATTATTACGAGAGCTATTATTTACTATCGTAGTTTCGCTAGCCCTAATTAGTTAGGTTTAGCAGCCTTTAATTGTTAATTAATCTTATCTTTTTAAAAAAACGCAGTTCGTCTAGTTTAGACCCCGCAGTGGTTCGGTTTGGTTTAGTTTAGTTTACTAAGCCGAAGATCTGGTTTAGTTTGGGTTGGTTTGCTAAGTAACTACAAGAGTAGCTAGTTCGAACTATAGAATTTATCGGTTTCTAAGAAGTGTAAGAATGTCTACGTAACTCGAAGCAAGCCCTTTATAAGATACGAGAGTGTAGCCGGCAGCGTAGCCGGCGTTTTTCAGTTGTAGGAAGGTACTTATATAACCCTAAATCTATAGGCAATCAGCTAAAGGCACTAACCAATTAAAAGCATATACACAGACAAGCTATTATAGTTCAGTTTAGAAACTGCACTTATTAGAAGTGTAAGAATGTCTACGTAACTCGAAGCAAGCCCTTTATAAGATACGAGAGTATAGCCGGCAGCGTAGCCGGCATTTTTTAGTTGTAGGAAGGTACTTATATAACCCTAAATCTATAGATAATTAGCTAAGGGTACTAACTAATTAAAAGTATACATATATATAAGCCATTATAGTTCAGTTTAGAAACTGCACTTATTAGGTATAAATTTTATCCTTTCGCTCGCTATTTAATTCCCTAACTGCTCGGTAGAATATTATTATCTAGATCTAGGTAGAACTTATCGATTTCCCTAGAAGTCCTCCTCCTTAAGAAGTTCTAACACTTTCCTACCGAACTATTCGACAATATTAAGTACTAGGATAGCTCCTTCCTCGGTATCGGTATAGTATATAAAAGAGCTATAAGGCAGCTCTATAGAACGTTCTACTAGTTACTCGCTATACTAAGGCCGAATGCTAGTTCGTTCCTTAGAACTCTTAGTTATTTAGGAGATATAAAGGGTAGGGTAGGTAGTAACTTCGTATTATATAAGGAGGTAGAGGCTACTATAGAAGAGGCCTTTAACCTATAGAAGACAGCAAAAGATATAGAGGCAGCTATAGGTCTAGGTACCTAGTTGAATTTCTAGTAGGTAGAGTATAAGGATATTTAGAGGGAGTATTAGGTAGAGTTGCGAAGGCAGGTATATAATATGCTCTAGAAAATAGGGATAGTGCCTATAACTATAACTATTAGGCTCTTCAACCTTCCTTATTTTTCCCTATTTTCTTTTTATAAAAATCCAAACTAATACAAATTAACCGGAATGTCTATCTTCTTTTAGTTCTTTAAAAAGCCTAGTAGCGTAGCTAGCAGCGTAGCCGGTAGCGTAGCCGGCCTTTTTACTCCTTAGTACTAACGGGATTTTAGGAGACTTCTATTCCGTACGGCTAATAAAGCATACTATACTATATATATATACTTAGAGAGTATTTAGAGCGCGGTATACAGCGCCGTATAATAGCGGCTTATTTCGTATATAGAAAAGCTTGTAGATAACACTACGAATATCCTTCCTACTAGAATATCTATCCTACCTAGCACCGTCTCGAATATAGATATTCTAGCCTTTTAGAATCTAATCGAGTGCTTTGAAATCCTTGTCTATAATCGTTATACGCTTCGTATAGATAGCTATAAGGTTGACCGCTAAAATAGTATTAGTATAGTCCGAAAAGAGGTAGAAGAGAAACATATATTCGAAGATACGAACTAGGTAGGCTTCTATAGCCTCTTAAAGGGCGCCTATCGCGGAGGCTTAGAAGCGAAGGTCCGTTCTATAATCCTAGGCAATTTCGCGAATAAGTCGTTAGAAAGGAGCTTTACGGATTAGGAGCTTAGAACTCTTCTAATACTACCGAATCTTACGGAGGGCTACGGCTAAAGAAGGATTAGTAAAAAGATAGTAAGAATGCCGGCTACGCTGCCGGCTACGCTACCGGCTACGCTGCTAGCTACGCTGCCGGCTATAAATAGGACTTACTTCCTAGGCGCTATCGACGCTTCGTACGATTGCTACTAGTAGTAGAAGCGCTAGTTATCGTCTTACGTAGAGCCTTGCCCGCCGTTATCTTACGCGGAGCCTTACTCGCGACGCCCTTTCTAGTACCGGAGCTAGCGGTAGTAGTAGCAGCCCTCTTACGTTAATATACTATACTCGTTCTACTATTTCCGGTCTTATTACGACCCGTAGAAGCACTAGGTCCCTTCTTGCGAGGCGTCGTAACTTAGTTAAGTAGACTCGCTATTATAAAAGTCGTCGAATTAAGGAAAAAAGTGCGTTACGAAGGTATACGAAGGCGCGCGCGGAGCGAGGGTATTACGGAGGTAGTAGATATAGAGCGTAGAGGTATAGGTATCGATACGAAGGTTGAATATAGCGGTAGTATCGCGGTATCGCTAGGCAATAGAGTAAGCTTCGCGCAAGCCTATATTATAGTAACGTTAGAGTAAGGAAAGAAGGTAGGTACGGCTAAAAAAGGCAGGTACGGCTAAAAAAGGCAGGTACGGCAGACTTTAAAATATAGCCGGCATATATAGCCGGCATAGTAATAGGCGAAAGCCTCCTTTTAATAAATAGCCGGCGTAATAATAGTATCCTACTATAGTATAGATATTCTTTAGTAATGCCTTTACTAGCTATAGTAATCTTATAAGTAACCTAGGCCTATTGCTAGCAAATATAAGAAATATTAGGTAGGCTATACTAAACAAGCTAGTTATTTAGTAGGAAAAGGCCTACTACCGTCTCTATATGCCGGCTACGAGTGCCGGCTATCGCTCTAAATTCAACTCCGCCCTATCTCGGAGACTAAGGTACCGAGCGGAAACCCTATAGCTTATATTTACTCGGTTATCGCGGAGCGCTTATAGGTAAGGTATTAGAAAAGAGTATAAAAAGTACGAGAAGAGTATCCTAGGATATAGGTCGTAAGTAAATAAGAGTAGCACGCCTAGTTATTTATATAGTACGTTACTCTATACGACTAAGAGCCTATATTATCTTATGCTTCGCTTATAAGACCTCGACTCTACTAGTATACTGTCGATCTCCTCCTCGGTCGCTAATACGCTATCTTAATTCTTCTTCGAGTTGCCGGACTTAGTACGTATCTGTAGCTATGCAATAGCGCTACGTATTATAGAGAATCAACTCCGCCGTATCTCGAAGGCTAAGGTACCGAGCGGAAATCCTATAGCTTATATTTACTCGGTTGTCGCGGAGCGATTACAGGTAAGGTACTAGAAAAGAGTATAAAAAGTACGAGAAGAGCATCCTAGGATATAGGTCGTAAGTAAATAAGAGTAGTACGCCTAGTTATTTATATAGTACGTTACTCTATACGACTAAGAGCCTATATTATCTTATGCTTCGCTTATAAGACCTCGACTCTACTCGTATACTATCGATCTCTTTCTCGGTCGCTAATACGCTATCTCAATTCTTCTTCGAGTTACCGGACTTAGTACGTATCTATAGCTATATAATAGCGCTACGTATTATAGAGAATTTCTCGTTAAAGTTTCTCTCTCGTAGGCTTGCTATCTACCTCGTAGTATAGAGGATTAAAGTACTAATACTAAAGAATCTCCTTATAGTTAGGATACTAGGGCTCCTTAGGACCTTTGTATTTTAGGTCTAAATAGAGACGTATTATAAACATTCTATCGCCCTTTCG